AAATGGAGGTGTACATTAGTTTTAAGTAGTAATTGGTGGTATTAGGTTTTTGAATTTTTTTAAATGCTAATTTATTAGGTATAAAATTATTCCTCATTTTCATTTAAATTTCTTTGACAACTGGCAAAATAGTTGTATCTTTTCTGTGATTCAGCATATTATTTCTATTTCCTATATTGTACCTTATCTGTTAATTTTCTTTACCAAATCATCTTTTGGGTGTTGATGGTGTTCTTATAGCTGACCCCTTTTATAATCCACCTGATAGGGGGCTAATAACCAAAATATACAAGAAACGCAAACAACAACAACAAAACTCAGAAATAATCTCATTAACAAGTGGCTAAAGACAGAAGTAGACATTTTTGAAAAGAAGACATGCAAATAGCGAACAGGTATATGAAAAAATGCTTGGCCAGGCACGGTGGCTCATGCCTATAATCCCTGCACTTTGGGAAGCTGAGACTGGTAGATCACCTGAGGTCAGGAGTTCGAGACCAGCCTGGCCAATATGACGAAACCCCATCTCTACTAAAAGTACAAAAATTAGCTGGGCATGGTGGCAGGCACCTGTAATCCCAGCTACTCAAGAGGCTGAGGCAGATAATTGCTTGAACCTGGCAGGCAGAGGTTGCAGTGAGCTGAGATTGTGCCACTGCACTCCAGCCCTGGGTGGCAGAGCAAGACTATAAAAAAAAAAAAAAAAAAAAAAAAGGACAAATACTCAACATCATTAATCAGAGAAATGTAAATTAAAACCACAGTGAAATATACCTCAGTCAAATTGGCTATTAATAAAAATATGTATTTAAAAGAAAACATGTTGGGGAGGATGTACAAAAGAATTCTTACACTTTGTTGGTAGGATTATCAATAAGTACAGCCTATGTGGTAAATAATATGGGGATTTCTGAAAGAACTAAAAATACAATGACCATACAATCTAGCAGACCCATTACTGGCTATATACTCCAGAGGTAAATAAATCATTTTATCAAAAAGATGCTTGCACTAGTATGTTTATAATGGCACTATTCTCAATAGCAAAGATAAGAGATCAACTTAATTGTCCATCAGTGGGTAAATGGATAAAGAAAATGCTTTGGAAGGCCAACGTGAGAGGATCACTTGAGCCCAGAAATTCAAGACCAGCTTGGCGACATAAAGAGACCCTATCTCTAAAACAACAGCAAAAAATTTAGCTGGGCATGGTGACACACACCTGTGGTCCCAGCAACTTGGGAGGCTGAGGTGGGAGGATCAATTGAACCCAAGAGGTCTAGGCTGCAGTGAGCTGTGATATCACCACTTCATTCCAGCCTAGGCAAGAAAGCAAGATCAGGTCTTAAAAATAATAATAATAATAATACTAAAATGAACAAATTAAAAAAACATAAAGGAAAATATGCTCTCTCTCTCTCTCCCTCTCTGTCTCTGTCTCTCTCTCTCTCTCTCTCTCTATATATATATATATATAAATATATAAATAATATCAAGTAGTACTATTCAGCCGTAAAAAGAATGAAGTCATGTTATTTGCAGCAAAATGGATGGACCTAGAGAACATTACCTTAAGTGAAACAAGCCAGGTATAGAAAGTCAAATATCACATGTTCTCATAAACTCATAAGTGGGTGCTACAAAATGTGTACACATGGTTATAGAGAGTAGCATGATAGACAATGGAGACTCAGAAGGGTGAGGCTGTGGGAGGGGAATGATGTTGAGAAATTACTTAATGAGTACAATGTATGTCATTTGAGTGTTATATACCCTAAAAACCCTGCCTTGACCACTATGCAATCGTTGCATGTAACAAAATTGCACACATACCCCATGAATTTGTATGAATAACAAAATAGTTTTTTAAAAAGTATTTTGCTTATGTACTTAGCTGTTATTCTTTGGCCATTAAGGAACTCAAATATTTGTTAGATGAATGAATGGATTTTCTTTCTTATAGTTATTCACTTGAGGTTAGGAGTTTGAGACCAGCCCAGCCAACATGGCAAAACCCAGTCTCTACTAAAAATACAAATAATTAACTGGATGTGGTGATGCATGCCTGGAATGCCAGCCACTTGGGAGGCTGAGACAGGAGAATCGCTTGAACCCAGGAGGTGGAGGTTGCTGTGAGCTGAGATCATGCCACTGCACCTCAGTCTAGGTGACAGAGTGAGACTTCATCTCAAAAAAAAAAAAATGAAAAAATCCTTAACAAAATACTAGCAAACTGAATTCAACAGCACATTAAAAAGACCAATCACTATGATCAAGTGGGATTCATCCTTGGGATTCAAGGTTGACTCAGCATATGTAATTCAATAAATGTGATGCACGATATTAGCAAAATGAAGGACAAAACCTGAATGATCATTTCAATAGATACAGAAATAGTATTTGACAAAATTCAACATGTAGTCATGATAAAATCTCTCAACATAAGAGGTATAGAAGGAATTTATCTCTGCCTGATGGGGTGGCTTCACTTCCGTAATCCCAGCACTTTGCAAGGCCGAGGCAGGCAGATCATCTGAGGTCAAGAGTTTAAGACTAACCTGACCAACATGGTGAAACCCCATCTCTACTAAAAATACAAAATATTAGCTGGGTGTGGTGGCAGGCACCTGTAATTCCAGCTACTCTGGAAGCTGAGCCTGGATAATCTCTTGAACCTGGGAGGTGGAGGTTGCAGTGAGCTGGGATCTCCCCATTGCACTCAGTCATGATGAAACATTGAAAGGTTTTTCTTTAATATTAGGAACAAGACAAAAATGCCCATTTTTGCCATTTATATTCAACATAGTACAGGAAGTCTGAGCCATTGCAATTAGGCCAGAAAAAGAATCAGAAGGCATCCATATAGTAAAAGGAGTGAAATTTTTTGTTTTCTGATGATGTTATCTTATATGTAGAAAACCCTAAAAATCCACTGAAAGAACCCTCTTAGAACTGATACACAAATTGAATAATGGTAGAGATTATAAAATAAACTTGACAATCTGCAGTGTTTCTATAACAATGAAATCAAGAAAACAATTCCATTTATAATAGGACCTAAGAAAGTACTTTGGAGTAAATTTAAGTATAGGTGAAAAAGCTGTATGATGAAAACTATAAAACATTGATGAAAAAAGTTGAAGACACAAGTAAATGGAAAGATATCTCATGTTCATGGATTTGCTCTTTCTATCTCCTTCAGCTCCCCTTCTCAAAATTGCTTTTCTGTTTTTGTTTTGATTTTCTTCTATCGGTAATGATTTCTTTTTTTTTTTTTTTTTAATATTACAAGAAGTGATTTTAATCTGGGGCAGTTTCTTACCCTAGACAACAACTGGACATATTTTTGTTTGTCACAACTTAGTGTGGGGGGGATTCTGCTAGCATCTAGTGGGGACAGGCCAGGGATGCTGCAGAAACACCCTACAATGGAAAGCCTCCACAGCAAAGAATCATTCAACCCAGAGTATCAATAGTTTCAAGATTGAGAAGCCCTGACTTAAAGTAACCTTTCTTCCCTGCATCTACCTGCAAAGTATGAACAGACAAAAACCAAGCAGAAGTAATTGTTGATTGTTTTAAAGAACTCAGAGCAGTAAGAAATGTCTCATTGGAAAAGGAAGATTTCTGAAGTCCCAAATTAGAGTACCAGCCCTTCCTATCTTGGAGTCATGGAGTTTTTTTTGTGGTTGAGATGGGAACACCTGCCAAAAAGAAATCCTCTTGCCTGATAATTGATGCTTATGCAGTTCCTCTCATTATCTACTCAGCATCTTTCAGTATTACATAACTACTCAGGTCTCTTATGTGTTCTCATTGTTTATATTCAACATGTCACTGATTTTGCTATTCATTATTCATTTTTTGTCATTTTGTCAGTTAAAATGGCCAGTGGATCTGCCTTTGCCTGAAAGAAAGACTTCATTGCTCTTAAATTGTGAGATGTTGAAAGATTTCATATTTTTGATAGTGGCATGGTTCTAATCATACTAATCTAGCTAGAACTCAGTTCTTGCTTTAATCTTGCCCTGCTTGAACATGAAGCTATTTTTATTTTGTACTATATTATTTATGCAGTGTGGTAAAATGTCATTTTGCCTCAAGGTGACCTTTGAAGTTATCGGGAGCCTATGTTTTGACTAAAATATATTGTGTCGGGTGTTAAGCATTTTTAGTGTATAAGGGAAAATGAAGGAGTTCACAGGACAAGTGGGTGGCTGTAAATTTTTACATAGAGATCAAGATTAGGTTTTTTAGATATGAGCAGAATCCATGAGGTATTTGGAGGAGAATTGTGTAGACTTATGCTATAGTATGGCATTTTTTTAAGAAAATGGAGAACTAGGCAAAGCAACCAAGAAAAAAAAATAAGATAGGACCTAAAATGACTTCATAGGAGATGAAGCCTGAAAAGTTCCTTGTTAACTAGAGGGAGAGCCTCTAAATTCAGAAACCAAAAGGAAAGAACCCATAGACAAACCTAGGTTGTTTGCAACGTAAAATCTTTGTAACATCATAGCTTCCTTATCTTTTCACTGTATAGGGTTTTTTATTTGCATTACTCTTGAATTTTTAGGGGCAGTCATACATACGGTGGATAAGGTGTGAGGAGGTAAGACAGGAATTTATGAAATTCCTGTATAATTTTTTAGAGGCATATACTTAACCCAGTACAGTTTAAAGATTTACCTATATATTTAAAATGACAGTCTCTCTGACTGTAGCGTACCAAGAAAGGCAAGATGAGAATGTGCTCGAGAAACCACAGTAAACCAAGCAGAACATCAGACCCTTAAGATTTAATGAGAGTATTCTTGGTGCTTTCTTATAGTAAAGTGAAGTTAATAAAATCATGAGCTATGTAAGGGAATTTAGAATCTTCCTAGGACAGAATTGCTATAATATATGTACTATGTTTTGCCTCATCTTAATATTTATGACTTAATTTCATGAAATTAGTTTCACTTTTAAGTTTTAAATTAATTTCTTATTTTTTTCAGTGAATATCACCTCTGCCAGGCAATTAACCGGATGTAGTCGCTTCGGTCATATTTTCCCTTCTTCTGCTTACCAGCACATTAAGATGCATAAGAGAATTCTGGGGCACTTGTCATCTGTCTATTGTGTAGCATTTGACCGAAGTGGGAGAAGAATTTTTACAGTGAGTTTAAAATTTAATATGGTAACATATATAGAATTACAACAGTTAAAGCCAGACTGCATGGCATTGCATTGTGCTTTGTAGGTAGTTCACTTTTTTGGGTATATGGGTGCAGAAAAAGATGAGTGGAAATTGAAAATGTTTTCTCTTTTTATATAAGTAAACAGGTCAACACAAATGTTTACTATATTCTTGGAAGTTTAATTTTAAGAAGTTAAATCTTCAGAAGACCTTATATTCTAGAAGTGGTTAATTTATGTGAAACAAGTATACTCAAAAATTTCATTTCATTTTTTTATTTTTTATTTTTTTTGGAGACGGAGTTTAGCTCTTGTTACCCAGGCTGGAGTGCAATGGC